TAGGCCTGGGATAAGAATGGGTGCTGCTCGAATTAGCTGCCGCGTAAGAGCACCGCGCGCAGTACTTCGCGAATACTTCGCCGCGCTGTGACCTGACAATGAAGTTACTAGAGCGACATTTCTTCAGTATGTATTGATCCAAGAAGAGTTATTTTATGCACATAAGGCTATCTTTGGATAACTTCACTATGGCTGTTTATGTCTATGCGGGGCTTCCAAGAAGTGGTTGTACGAGGCTTCCGAAACTGGTTGCATGAACAGTTGCCAGCCACAAATCCAGCGAAAGACCGCCTAAACACCCATGATTGGCGTCCAACTACGCTTTAGCTATGTACATATGCTATAGACTTCCAAGGCTTCGATTAATGTTTTTTCCTTCCTTGATCTTTTCCCGCTCACACTTTTCCTGGAAAAAATACGAATCACGTAATGGACTGTACGAACTGCACAAATTTGGATGTTCTCTGAGGAAGTGTCTGATTTACATACCTAATTCCCTATCCGAACTCACAATATGCCCAGCTTGTTACTAAAATGATGTTTTTACCAGGAGCACTGCTCAATTCCTAGTGGTCACAGTTTTGTCCAGATGGGTTTTACTTTTTTTGTGTGTTGAATGTTCGTTACGGATTTTCCTTTCCTTTGCACTGAATCCACACTTTTCTCATAGGTTCGGTTTGCAGAGTGAGTAGAGGCTAGCATAGTTCTTATTTCTCTTGAGTTTACCAATCTGCTTTTGTAATTCCGGTTCCGCCCACAGTACGAGCCACAAGCGAATATCAACAGAACACCAGGAAGCGCTTGGAGTTCGTATGCCACTAGCGCTTTTCGGGCTCTTTTTCAGTTTTCAATAACCTCTGTTTATTATTTTATGTTATTTATTTATGCACTCAATGGTGCGCTACAACAGGGCAGAAGGTGTTAGTTCGGTACAAGTATGTTTAGACGAAAAACAAACAAACAAATCGCTAAACTCGTATAACAGCTGAAGAAAAAGGAAAAAAAAAAGGAGTCGCGCTTCCAGCATCCCAGGCCTGCCGTACACAAAAAAGGACGACCCAAGAAGGTCAGCACAGAACTAATAACTACCACTTCTGTGTGTGAGGGGCTCAAGTAGGCAGTGACTACCTACAGATAGTTCTTACCAACTTAACACTGAATAACGGCCATAGAAGTGCAGGTCAGTTATATTACCGATAGACCGCATTGCTCGAAAGATTTCGCGATAAGGGGGAGATCAAAGAACGGGAAACATATGCTCCCTTTCAAAAAACGAGAAGAGCGTCGGGTGCAGACCATACACCACAAGTGACGACGGCCTCCACAAAATGTAAATGTTTTCTGCCAATGAAATGATTAGCCTGTTGCAGTTGTATTCTATCAGTTGTCACTAATTACAACTATCATTTACCAAAAATCAGCTATCACTATGAACCACTCTAACCAGATTTACTTGGAGGCCGTCGTCACTTGTGGTGTATGGTCTGCACCCGACGCTCTTCTCGTTTTTGAGAGGGAGGGTACTTAATTCAAAAGCAGGCGGGCTTCCTGGGTGCGGTACAATGCGCGTTTCTGAGCGAAGGGTGTGCCCAATGCTATAGCAGGAGGACCACATCAGCGGCGTTCGCGGACGCTACCCGCTCATCATCTCGTCCTCTGACTCTAACCGTTTAGCATAGCAAAGAAAGCGTTAGCGTTGAAGAGGGCGGCACCGATGAGAGTCGCATCAATGCGGAAATCAACGGGCAAAGAAGTGTCCCATTTCTCTGGTTGTGGGCCATTTCTCATAGTTTTTCCTTCATTCCTGCAACACTAGCCACCTTTACTGGTGTCTGATGGGGCCGTGAACTTCGCATCAAGGTTCTGAACTCAATGGCTTAAGGGTAGAACGGTTTTGATGACGTCATCCTGAGTAAGTGGTGGACTAAGCTACTCGACGCGCCAGCTGAGAGTTCTCCCCGGGCTCTTTCACCAGTATAATAAAAAACGCATCAAAATCACCCCGCCCTCTGACCTCGTGTTCGCTGCCTACAGGGGATGTCCATAAGCTAACCTGTTGTATACCTGATGCTGTCCTTTCTTGCTTTCGCGTTCATCCATTATGGGAACGTGGTCTAGCGCCGTAGATTGTTGACCATGGCACTTTTGCAGGGACAAACCCAGCCTGTGCAAGATTTGAAACCGCAATCTAGCCGGTTTTCCTTTCAGTAGATATCGCGATCACGTGACAAGCAATGTTTTTGGCGATCAAACTCGTACGTTAAAAATCGGATCAGTTAAGAATAGCTGCGAACACCGCTACCCGCCCTCGCTTTATGTGCGTCACTCATTCCCGAACACGACCGCAGTCATCTCATCACGTCCGGCGATATGCCGGGGCTGACTAACTGTCGACCCGTCGGCTGACAAACCTGTTTCTAGCCTGCATCTTGTTCAATCACGACTTCCTTCCTATTGATCACAGTTCGCCACGACCGTTTCTGAATTTGCATAGTCCATTCATTTCTACCTCTTGAGGTCGCCATCACTGCTGTCACAGCATGTCGTTTTTACGTGACTCGCCGCACTCGCACAGCCACAGCCTTCCCAACAAGACCTTGAAACTTGTCGTTTCTTGCTCTTCACTCAGCGATGCACTTTATTGTAACCGGGATGTCGCTCGTTCGGGGCGATAAGCCAACAAGCAGCGAAGACCACACTTTCCGTTGCTTATTGTAAAGTTGCTCTGTATCGCTCTTTGTAGTGGACTAGATAATTTCGATAAAAAAGCGTTCGAGAGTCGATGAACGACTGCCGACAGTGCAAATTAGTCGTGTGTTCTGATGAGAAAAAGACAGATGTACCCGCTGATGATAAAAAAACGGCGTTCATGTCGCCAACGACTGCTAACGGATGATAAACCATATCACTGTGAAAGGGGCCAAATATGTTCACCAAGAACCGTGTCTACCAAAGACCGAGGACACCTTCGTAGGATGAACAGGATCCTTGGATCCCTTCGGGGGGGGGGGGGGGGAGCTGCATAGCTGGAAAATTCCTTGAAGGAGAGCGTGCAATGGGGCTTGGTGGAACGTTTACAAAACCATGGAGGCTAGGGCTAGGTATGAGCAATGCTACCAACAATCAATCTTTTGGCTTGGAAGGAAACTCTCAAGCGCTCCATTGCTCTTTTTGATCCTCTACCTATTCAAATCCTTTATAAATCATAGCATAGTGGCCTTTGAATGCTGACCTTTAGGTGGCTATTTAATGTAGAAGATCCTTGAATATCAAGGCTAAAAAGAAAATTTCCAAAGTCAGGCTAGAGGATGTTTTTTCTCGTCTAAGCTTAGTTTACCTCTTTGGTTTTACTTCTGATTCCTGCCCTTGTTCCTCTGAAGCACTCCGCAGCCAGCGCTCATGGCAGCTGAGCATAATTATTGTTTTGAAATGCTTAGTTGCCCTAAATTTCACATATGAGCCTAATAGTGTTTGGTTAAGAGCGGTCTGTGCTAGTGCTTACGCTACTTACTTCGCGATGAGGTTGGACAACAGCTCGCAAAAGAAGAATACTCTGACTGAAGAAAAAATTTGAAATACGAATAGATATATTATCGGAAAACGCCCCTGACCATCAATCATTATTTGCAAAAATTCATTGGAATTCAATTCAAATTCATTCAAATTCAATGCAAACTGCCAGCTGAGAAATAGCAGATTGTGTCAGGTTGTTATGCCCTATTTCGAATTCCGTTTAGTACTTACAGAAAATTTCCGACTTCTGAGGTTTGCATATGTTACCCGAGTATCCTAGTGTCGCACCCATTCCAATAGTACTGGTGTGCAGTGCTTACGAGCAACACTGATACTGTAACAAATGTGTCATATGGACAGTTCTTTGTCCTACTGCGTATTTCTGCTATTTAGCTACTGTATATTCCTGCTGTGCTTTCAATGTATGGTTCAAATTTTTCGAGCTGTGTTACTTGGCACTGGAACATAATGCAAAAGTAGCTTTCTCTCATTGAAGGAAGTGTCAGACTCAGCCTTACTGAGAACTCCCTCTCTGAACAAGTGCTAGGTCAAGCACTGCAATGGTCGCGCTGCTTTGGCACCTCAAAACGTGTCACTAAGATGCTAGGCGCTTGAGACTTGTGCCATCCTCCACCCAGAATTATCAGTGCCCGCCCACAGCTCGATATCTTGTCTGCGTCGTAGCGTTAACCTGCGATGTCGTCTCATCTCAAATGCTTTCCCCCCGCTGCAATTCGCGTTATCTCTTATTTCGCTGCCTGTATTTTAGAGTTTTCCGTAGCATAGAGCAGAACGAGTCGTAGTTTCTGTGTCTTTGACAACTCTTTCCCATTTTTTTCCTTGCAGTTCACTCCGCATCCTAAGTTTCACATTCAAGTGGTACTAGCACTTCAATTTGATTCTGGGCCTTGCCTCTAACGCACAACTCACGACTCCATGGCTCAACTAACTGGCGCGTAGTTGTCGGAACCCGAAGGGTTGTCACTCCGCTTCAGTGTGAAAGCGAAGTTGAAAGTTGGTCTACCAATTAGGGAAAACGAAGCAAAACATCCTAACTCGAAAAAAGTGCATCGTTTTCCGGGCTTTTCAGGACTCAGACAATGAGAGGCAGATAGCGCTGAGGGATATATTATACGTTGATGCAAGCGAGTAGCAGATAAAGAGAGAGCATAGGGGAGAGCGAGACCCAGATTTCGCAACGATGTAATGGTTCACAGGGCATGCATTGGTTTTTGTTTCAAGCATCTAGCACCCTATTAGGTAGTTTGACTAACGAAAGTAGCAGTGCTTCTACGCTGCGAGCCCGACAGCCTCATTTCGGGGGGGGGGGGTTGCACGGATTTACCTAATCGTGAGTTGTGCCTTTAAGTGCTTGAACACAATTTAGTACATCGATATCAATGCCTGCACGAGAAAATAAATAAAAATAGTTTACAAATTAAATGTCACTATTACTTTAGCAATAACTGTACAGGACACACACAACAATGACGCTAACGGTATCCATGGAGGACATGGAGCTGTTTCCAAAAGATGCGCTACTCAACACCAAGCCTCACTCAACTCCAGTTGACATCAATTGCTTTACACAGGTATTTGATACATGATACCACCACTTCTATTTTCCAATAGAATCGTTACCCTGTGACTTTTTCCAAAGTGGCTTCCAAAGTAGAAGGCCGGTAAGTGGTTTGCAAAGGCATCCATCTATCAGGCACTGAGGGACCATGCAGATAATGCACTTCCCGCGAGCAAGTTGGAACTGTTCCCCCCGTGGTTTGCTCAATTTCCTTCACAAATATGATTCTGTGGAACATTTGCAGTTGTATTCCATGTCGATACCGCCCATCAAAATGCTGCAGACTATCCAGT